ATGCGCGTTACCTACGTACGTATAAGTAGGTGCTAGTTAACTTCCCATCCCCCTCAGGTTCGAGTGGTCTAGAGGTCTCCTATCCTCTCCTCTCCGTCTGGAGACGGGGGGAGTCCCCGTGGGGAGATGCCATTCGCCTGGAATACCTCTAGAGGCACTCGCCAATTCTCGGCTTGAGGTCCCCTTAGGATCTCGCCGTCCCCAAACCCGGTGACGCTGTAAAGGTCATCTGAGACCAACACAAAACACCCAAAAACTTCCAATTGAATTGGACTTTTCTGGAATGCGTTGATTGGCGTATATAAGCGCCGTAGTTGACAGTTTTAGTTTCAAAGCGATAATAGTTGAGTTTCAACAGCGATTTCGGAACGAATACAAAGGCGATCAAAGTGAAACTGAAGTGTTTTAGTGCGATTGTTTATAGACTTGTATAGTGTACAGTGAGTGTAGTGTTGTGTGCTGAAGAAAAAACTATGTGAACTGTGTGGTGAATAAAGAACTGTCAAGCGAGAACTGGCATATCATTTCGAACCCCATCCCGACACGTAACAATATAATACACTTTTGGTCATCCATCTGACGTTTTTCTGATATACTCACAAGTCTGAAGATTTCTTTTAAGAGAGGTAGTGCGTAAATAGGACTGTTGATATTTTTTTAAATATCGGATTCTGGATATATCGATATTTTAAATTATATCAATATGGGAGTTTGATATAACGAAAAAAAATATCGATATTTCGACATATCGATATTATTTTAGATTTTATCTTATCGAGTTAAGAATTTTAACGAAGACGAGCAGTTCGCTATGTAACTAGATTTTAAATAAATTAAAATTGAATAAACATGTGCTTTTCCGCTACACTAATTTGAACAATACAGTAATTTTTTTATAACCTCTCTTTTTAACTTCGCTCGCTGTTAATCACAGACTACAGACCATAGTTCAACATAGATTATACACATAACACAAATTAAGTAGAGGTAGAGATGCTAAAGCTATTAACGCTGACAGGTTAAGTAAGGTGATAAGTAACAACAGTGGGTAAAGTAAATACGTTTTAGATTAAAGTCTCTTTTTATACAAAATTACAATTCGTTTTAAGATTATATGCAAATAAATAAACTAAGAGAGGAAAGACATATAATAATAATTTTTCATTTCATTTCATTTACAACTTCTTATTAATATATTTATTTAGTATAGGAAATTCTTTGTAGCTATGACTACACATTCATGAATCGGGACCCGGGAGACAAATTACTTGCGGACTTGAAAACCAATAAACAAGATGTTCGGATATTTCATTGAGTACTTTCAGAGCCCGCCCCCAAAGAAGCTTTTCGATTTTCAAATTCGCGGCGAAAAGTTTAATTAGAAAAGTTTAAGCTCAATTTTTAAACTTTATGTCCTAGATTAACGATGGGACTGACATGTATAATTTTACTAGAGATGCCCTGCGGTTTTGCCCGCGTTAATTTAAGTAATAGGTGTATAATTTATATTATTATTTTCATTTGAACAACAAAAACTTAAAAACTAAATGATAACTGATATTACGTTCCAAATTACCATAAGCTACTTAACTACTTAAATTATATACACTTCTGGACACATCTATTGGCCCACCTTGTATTTTCAGTTTCGTTTGGTCCTAGCTAAAAGTTTATATTAGGTCGAGCAAAAAGTTTTTATGCAGTTTTGAACCTGGCACATTCACAATTTTATTCAATAGTCTTTATTTGAATTTCAAACACAGAATTTAAAGAAACAAAAGACAATTTGGAGCCTGTTTGTTGATATCAAACAATCGAATACTAAGAAAACTTGGTTTTATTGGTTTACTTGGATTTAATTCTTGAAAAAGTGATTGATATTTTTGGTTTTGCAACAAACATTACTTATTCTTAACATTAAGGTGAGGTTCTATCAATAATCTATGGATCCTTCACCTGAAGTCGCCGCCCAAGCTGTGGCACTTATTCAGGCCGGACACAACCAAAGAAACGTGAGTGCTCAACTTAATTTAAGTCGATCTGCGGTCCGAAATGTTTATCGGAGGTACCTAGAGACTGGCGGCTTTGTTCGTCGCCAAGGAAGGCCACGATCTCGGGTCACAACTGAAAGGCAGGATCGATTCATCGTGACGACCAGCTTGAGAAATCGTCACCTTACCTCCATTGAGATACAAAAACAAATTCGCGACTTCCACGGAGTATCTGTGAGCGCTCGAACTGTTCGGAGAAGGTTAAAAGAACGCGATATGGAACCACACAAGCCAGCTAATGGGCCCAAACTAACGCGAGCCCACCGAACAGTGCTCCTTCATTTCGCACGCACGCATTTAAATTGGACACTACAAGATTGGAGCCGTGTACTCTTTTCTGATGAGTCTAAAATTGTGTTACATGGCAATGATGGAAGGAAGAAGGTCTACCGACGTAAGGGAGAGCGTTTCGCACAATGCTGCTTTGAAGAGAGGGTTACTTATGGCGGTCGCTCATGGACTGTCTGGGGTGGTATATCCGCGAGCGGCAAAACTCAACTTGAGGTTGTTACAGGACCACGGCTGCCAACATTAAATGCTGAAAGGTACATTCGTGAGTGCTTAGAACCTCACGTGATACCAAACGCGGACTATGTGGGCCCAAATTTCCTTTTTATGCATGATAATGCAAGAGCCCATGCGGCCGGCATCGTCAGGGAATATCTTCGGGATGTGAACATCACAGTTATGGACTGGCCAGCCAGAAGCCCAGACATGAACCCCATTGAGCACATGTAGGACGAGCTAAAAAGACGTGTTAGGGCTCGTCAGCCAGTTGCCCAGACGATGCAGAAATTGAAAACTGCCATAGAAGAGGAATGGGAGATGATCCCTCAAAATTTCAGAGAGCGGTTGATAAACTCTATGCCTAATCGTATGAGAGCTGTGGTAGATGCCCATGGAGGCAACACGCGTTATTAAATTAAACCTTTATTTGATAAAACATGTTTTTTATTGAAAAATCAATTGCTTTTAACAAGGCGCACATCCGACTTGTTAGGCGTAGCTCCATGTCGTATGGTATTCTGAATTCAAATTTAAAACAATACGATCGAAAAAGATGATAAAATGTATCAGGTTTAAAACTGCATCAACAGTTTTTGTTCAATCTAGCAATCATATTTCGGTAGGGGCCATCGAAACCTAAACTCTAAGGTGGGCCAATAGATGTGTCCAGAAGTGTATAATATACAAAATAAAAAATAAGTCACCCCCAGCGCTGCCGTCGGGAATGGTGCCCAATAGGCTGGCAGCGTTGCCACGTTGGATAGCGTTGACCAAGATAGCTGCCAGCCTCTTGATCAAGGCATTAAATTCGATTTCGAAATTTGCCTAACCAAATGGTTTCTCCTAGGTTTGACGAATATTCTTTGGTCAGAGGCCGAAAAGTTTGGGCTTAGACTAAGACTCCAAGTCAGACCTGAGGATTGACCAGTCAAACCAAACCAAGGAGCGCCGGAGCTGCCAGGTTTGACTATAAACCGACTCGTATGTGGCTGGTTTCGATTGAAAATATTCAAAAGTTTCCCACCAGAACGCGCGCACAAAGCTTTTACCGCGCTACTAATCCTATTACATCCAAGAGTTTTGTCCAAAACAAAATTAAATCATTAACTTTCTGTCAAGTGATTCAACATCATAAACTTCTTTACTTTAATTCTTGACTTCTAAAAAGAAATTGTTTAGTCGTATCAAACTTTTGAGACTTCAACGAAACGAAACTTTAAGCTGTATAGCGATCGTAAGAAGCAACTTTCCCCTCTTCAAATGGCGACATTGTCGTCAAACTTTTAATAACTTGCTCAAAAATCTAATATAAAAGCGTCTGCTTGAACAAATTATTGATCCACAGACAATGTCTACCAACCTAGATCGGCAGATAAATAGTAGCAAAATAATAGGTATCTCTAACAGAGTTTCCTCAATTATTTTTTTCCTAATCTTTATATATATAATTCTTCTGTGAGTGTGTTTGTCACTGAACTTCTCTTAAATGACTGGACCGATTTTGATGAAATTTTTTGTGTGTGTTCAAGGGGATCTGAGAATGGTTTAGATTCACAATTTTTACCGCTGGACAACCCCTATTTTTTTAGGGCGGTACGAAGTTCGCTGGGTCAGCTAGTATAGGTATATAACACAAAATTATTTTCAACCGACAAAAAATATGTAGGAGGTTATCATTTCGACGCGTATATATATTTTGTTTTTTTTTTATAGCCAGATAGACAAATGATTTTACCCCATCATCATCATTAGCCTATTAATGTCCCCACTGCTGGGGCCCAGGCCTTCCCTATGGATGGAATAGGGAGATTGGGCCATGACCCACCACGCGGGCCCAGTGCGGATTGGTGGGTGCTAACAACTGCAGATGCAGCCGGGACCAACGGCTTAACGTGCCTTCCGAAGCACGGAGGAGCTCGAGATAGTAATTTTTGGTCACCCATCCAATGACCGACCACTGCGACAGTTGCTTAACTTCAACGATCGCAGCCGAATGCGCTAACTACACGCGCTGTGGTTTACCCCACCTGATGTTAAGTGGTGATAAAGTCCAAACGCGAAGATAGCTGGTACAGCAGTTACAAACTGCCACACCAACCATCCTTACCTTTTACCAGCCTACAAAACTGCTTCTTCACGCCTCTCTTAAAGGACCCCGGATTGTAGGAAGGGGGGAACACGTGCCCGAGCAAAGAATTTCACTTCCGAATAGTACGACAAAGAAATGAGTCATCAAATTTCTTTGTTCGTGTAGGAATAGTAGCCACAGTAAGTCGTTGACAACGTAGGCTAGCGCGCATAGTCCTCTGAAGACAAGGTAATGGAGGAATAAAGGAGAATAACTCCTCAGAACACTCACAAAATGGCGTGGTATAGTCGGAAGAATGCGCTTAATGATGCCATTTCGCGGCGTAATTGTAGAGACTCGAGTTTGTTACTTACATCTTAATCACCAAATCAGCGCGCCGCTGTAACCTATCCAAGGCATCGAGTATGTACTTAGCGGAGCCATCCCAGAGGTGCGAGCAACATTCCAGGTTAGTCAGGCGTGAAAAAACGCCGCAACTTTTTCAGGACTCCGAGTTTGCGTGAAGCTGTTTTAATCACGGTTTCGCTGTAGTCCTTTGGATTCAGATTAGAACGAACCTCCAAACCGTGTTGTGTCCTGAAGAGAGGGAAGGAGAAGGAATGGCGATGTTTAACCGTGAAAGCGCAAACCTGGGTTTCCTTGGCATTGAACTCAACCAAGTTCCCGGTACCCCATTTGGAAATGTGGTCCAAAGCATAATTGAGTTCAGCGACAAGATTCTCCAGATTCTCCTTGGTTCCTACCTCCAGCCACTGCGTGTCCAAAGTATCTCGCATGCACTGTATTATCGTCTGCCTTACAATGAATATTCCCAATAGGAATCAAATCATTGATATGCAGCAGAAAGAGGGTGGGGGATAGAACGGAGCCCTGAGGAACAGCGGCATTCACTAACATGAACTGCGGACTACATCCGTCCGTAAGGATGCGAATTCTACGTTCATGCAGGAAGTCAGCTACCCATGCACAGAACTGAGCAAACAGACCGGATGCAGGAAGCCTTGGCGATTCTAGGGCTGATAGCCAGAGACTTTCCCCGCTTATCAATAGCTTCACCCCAGATGTGTGTCACGCTAGAAGGGCAGCCGTCGATCGATTCGGCTTAAATTGGGCACCAGTTACACTTAGGCTTCCCTCCAAGTCTCTGGCACACGCCCCAAAGAGTACGAAAGTTGGCACAAGCACGTTAGCATGAGAGACCACTCCCAATCTGCCGACCCATATTGCCAGACCCTGTTTTTGACCACCAATGGTCGAGGGTTATGGGTACCTTGGCAGATGTCATGCAATCTGATGAACCCAGTGGGGCTCGAACCATATCCCGATACTCTTGCGGATGAGTCGTAAGCATCGGTCTAGTAAAGAAGACGCTTGACTCGCTATATCTGGGATCCTGGTGGGCTGATCGACTAGATATATAGTCATGCGTGAAAGCGAATTCATGGGCAGAGACCCCTGCATGGTCAGTTTTGGAGGAGCCCATCCACATACGTATGTCGTTGTTCAAGCTAGTTAATAGCAATTATGATTGCAGTATTGTGCTTAGACAGGTAGGTTTGCAGGTCCCTTTCGATTTTCATAGAAAAGCCGACCGAGTACGACCTTTTGCTGTCCATTCCGTAAAACCAACTTGGGTAATAATGTACCTATAGCCATAATTGTTTGTGCATTTATAGCAGGTGTCATTTTCTATAATAATGTGTAAGTTACAATTTATACTCTGTCGCTGTACCATAAATAAATCATTTAAAAAAAGAAAGTGCCGTGAATACAACGCCTTATGCAAGGAATTGACTATAGACACCTTTCATAACATTTTGTATATTTTTAAAAGTAAACTTCTGGGATCTGCTCAGTTATGATATTGTTTTGTTGTTTGTTTTTTTCTATAATTTTTATTGTATTTAGCAACGCTGAGTATCTGTGTTATTTTGTTTTTCGTGAGTTTCATTTTCGTTTATTTGCAATTTTTTGTTAATTTACTTACCATGGTGTATCAAAATTAAATAGATTTAATATAAGCTTACTTTATGAACCACAAAGACATATCATTAGCTTAGCGGTGGTACCGCAAAAGATATCCTGATAGAGACAAATCTTCTCGATATGTGTTTAAATAATGGAAGAAAGATAGAGATAGAGAAAGATTTTTGATAAGCCATGGTAAGTAAATTAACAAAAAATTGCAAATATATGAAAATGAAACTCACAAAGAACAGACACTTGAAAATTTATGTGTTCCATTTTGGAATTATTACTATTACAAATTTCTGCCAGTCGCATTGTAACCGTGAGTTCAAAAAGAAATGCATACGTACTACAGTTTGTATAACACTTTATTATTTTTTATCACGTAATTCACATCAAAATAATCCTTATGATTAACCATTTCGATGGTTATCATAAAATATGCATAGTTATTTTTTTCGAAATTTCACGAGTTTGATTCCCAGCTGTAGCAGGCGATTTTAAAAAAATCTGTGAATGCAGTTCTAGTTATCAGTAAAAATAAAATGATGTCTTCTTTCAGTAAAATGTCCTATCTCCAATATTTAATATACTTTCCCTCCGTGTGAGGTAGCCGTGGGACGCCCTGTATATATATATTTTTAATAGTTGTTATATACCTACAGGTTTGTATGGAACCCTCGGTGCGCGAGTACGATTTGCACTTGGCCGCTATTTTTATGTGTGATCACGCATAACTTTTACAAGATTATTAGAATTACTAGCAAACCAGTGAACCAAATGTTCACCAAAACCTGATTTCTCGAAAACCGGAAGTGCTACGTTACTCAAATCCGGTTTGTAGTCTTATCAGACTATTCTTAACATAAAACTTAAATATTCTCTTTATCTATCTCTTACGGTTTGGCCGCTGAAACAGCACCACAGACAGACGGACGGACTTGTATAATAGATAAGAGATTATTTTCTGCTTTACAGTTTTTTCAGTGGTTGAATTTTTTTGCTAAAATGTTTTTATTAGCTTTGTCTGTTACAGTAATAAGACGAAAAACAAAGGTATCTGAAGAACTAGAAGCTGGAAATGGGCGAGCTACGTGTATAGAATGGATTATAGCTGCAGGTGGACTTGTAAGGCCCCTGAATAGTAGGGTCACTGAATGGATACCAAGAGAAAGAAAAGGAGAAAACCCGAAAAAAAGCGATGGGAGAACAAAAGAGATAGGGAAAAGTGATAGGAGCTGGGGGAGGCCTACGCCAAAGAAGGGAATTTCACGAGTGATGAGAATTTTTAAAATAATCACAATATTTAATGATGAATTTGTGATAGAATAAAGGCTATTTTGATTTCATTTTATATTTCTATTACAGACTTTGAAACCATGCAACCAATGTAGCCCAACCCGACCGGTACGGATACGGTTGACTTGGCTAAATAAAAAAAAACAATATATCTTTTATAGAAGTACCACACGCCGCACATGATAACCACTAGCTTACTTTAAAAAATGTTACATAAAATTCAAAATTCTAATGAATTTACTAAATCCATTTAGTACCCACTATATAAGTTGCAAGGTTTCCATTGCGGTTTAAGCCCAGAGCTCATTGGGCCCAGTGCCCTTCCCTATCCAACTCAACATATATTTCTATATCTATCCCCAATATCTTCCTATTCAATAAAAAATGTATCCTATCCACCAATTCGCAAGAGGGCCGCGTGGTGGGTGAAGGCCCGATCCCCCGATCATGTGAACTTTAAATAATAAAAAAACACACAGCAACCGGCGTCAGTGGTCGCCCACCTAGCTGCCCATCTAGTTACCTACCTAGATGCCTAGCCAGCTGCCTTGCTAGGTTGGGAGGTTAAATTTTAAAATTTTTCGCCTAACCCCCATCAGGAACTTCGTTCCAAAACACCAAATCATAGGCCTATACTGAGCAATGTTTTTCCCAGCATAAAAATACCAGCAACAGGTCTGACTGAACTTCTATTTTCAATAAAATTAACTTCCAATAATGTCAGGCTAAGTTAAATTAATTTATTAACTTAGGCAAAGTCCTGGACAGGAATGAATTTAAATGCTCAGTACCTGATGAATACAAATTAGATATTAATTACGAAGTAGCATTAGAATATTATTCATTTATTTGTACATACTAATTGGATTTTAATTTTTTTAAAAGAGTTTGATATTTGAGTACATTCATTGGCAACAATTCCATGATACTTTGATTGAATTTGCTCGATATGGAACACTTACCTGGTAATTCCAAGAAATTTGAGGTTCTCCTTTGACGTCCACGCATAGTATTTTGAAAATTAAGTGGTCCTATATCCTCAACGGAGTCGCAATTAGACATGGTTGATTCTCTGGACCCTCTTCTGCTAGCCAAATATGCCAGACCACCTTTCATGGAACCCCTACGCATCGGAGAACATGGTCTACTGATGCTCGTTGATCTAGTCTTTGGCGTGTCATCAGTTAAATCCGTCAAATCAGATGTTGATTTGCGACAAACTCTAGAGGATGTTGTCGTGGCTTCATCGTCTGCATCATGAACAATAGCGGATGATGTGCCCGGCATCGCGTCCATTGAATCGTCAGTATGACTCGAGACTATGCTCGGTGAAGTAACAAGCCTTGGAGAATTCACTGTGGAAGTGGAACTATAAATTTTTCTCGTGCGATTCGGGGACACATAGCCAGGATTGGTGTGGATGTGTACTGGTGGAGGCTTCGGAGACCGGGATTTCTCGCGGCGACTGTGCTTCAAAGATGTCGTATAGTGCAGACCGGTGTGGTGTACTCTGTCGAAATTGCAAGGGCTAGACCGACCGGAAGGGTTTTGGGGGAAATTGAAGTGCCTTGGACTTATTGGACTCCGGTGACCGTGAGCTATCGGTGATTTGGGCGGTTGGTTGTGCTTATCGTAACTGCAACCGGACTGGGGAGTGTAGTAACCGGAGGAAGAAGTGCTGGATGCGATGGAGGGACTTTTCTGGGGGAACACGAAATGGCGAGGGCTCTTGGGCGTATGAGGTTTTGGGGAAACGGGTGGATATCCACCAGGACTGTTCACCGCCATCATGGATCACTTCACTCGCGACACTGACATTTCACACTTTCAACGACTACCTGCAAAGAAAGAAAAACTTTTTACTACTATGATAACAGAAACTTACAGTATTTAATAAAAGAAATTGAAAATACAATTCTCAGGAATATTTATTTCCAACTAGAGATAAAAATAGCTAAAGCAAAAATTTAATAATTCATGTAATCGTCACCCAAGATTTATGTAATTCAGGCTAAATAACACATTGATAGAAATTTAACCATATCAGGAGCAAATAAATTATGGATGCATGCATAACAAAACAGCGACCACGAAAATGGCTGTTGAACAATGTTATTTTCACACAATAAGTTTACTCAAAGTCAATTTATTCCAAGAAGGTATTCACATAATAAGAAACGCTTCATGTCGAAAATATTTCATCACGAATTTATGTGCATAAATCAGATTTGTCCCAAATACCAACACACAAAGAGGAATAGATCATATTACCAAGATGATGGACGAGAACATAACTGTTATATTTCACAATGAAGATTAAATTTAATATTCCAATTCTGCGGCAAGGTATGCAAAAAATGCGGTTACAAAATTATATTGAAAAAATTCAAATCCAATACTGAAATACTTTCTTGAACTTTAATTCTCGGTTAGGAATTTTAGAAAATCCATAGAATATATAGACTGGGATAATTATTACTCAATAAATAGTTTATATCTTCATAAAATTATACTGGAATAAATTCCACTCGATCCAATCATCAGGCGGGACGGGCCGAGTAGATTTTTTTTAATGTAAAATTTTCTTAAGATATATATATCAAGCAGCAATTATATTA